AATTATAAGCGTTTAAAACTATTTTCTAAAGTTTTTACACAATTTTTTAACGAAAAAATTCTTTATATTGAAATTTCTAATGTATAAAATTCTCATTAAAATACCGAGGAAATGATTTATTGCAGCATCGTATTTGCCCTCGGCCATTAGCAAATCACCCCATTCCTCTTCAATTGTTACGACTTTTTCAGGAAATCTTGTTCTCGACAACTGAAAATTAGATAATAATAATCATCAGCAATTTACATAATGTTCTCTCTTCTTTTCTAATAATGAGAAAAAAAAACTGGTTTTTAAACAGTAAACACGAAGTCAGTCATTAGATAGTTATTGCAAAGTAATTGCTTGTTAAATAACATATATCGCATTTTGTAAAGAATTTAAAAACCAAGTTCTTTTTCTCACTTGTTTTAAACCTACTCTTTTTTTAAATTTCAATTAATGACAGAATTAGTAATAATAATAATACCTGTAAGGCTCTATTGTAGCATTTGGCTTCCAAAAAGCACTCTAAAGCACGTTCGTATTTCTCCACTTTTTCCAACAAACCGCCAGCCTAAATTATTTCAGCATATGTATTGGAGAAGTATATCAATGCGTTATGACAACTTATAAACAATTCTAAAATTCTTTTTTCAAACATAATATTATATAAAGCCATTCAAATTAGGCAAAAACTCAACCTTTTCATAGAGACTATTTTGAATTAGTTTGTCAATCACATCTTCAACAAGGTCAGCTTTTGAAATAAGTAGTGGATTGTCGAGTATGACTTGTGCTGCTTGTGCAATACAGTTCTCTTTCATATATAAATCAATTGCTGCTGCATAATCTCCATTACTTTCGTAAATCTGAAACCGTTGCTTTCTGGAAGTGCCAATGTGCAGTGCAGCTTTTTGGCAGACACAATTTTTGTAGACATGTCATCATCGGTGCATTTTTTGAAGCAATTTACCTTTGCTGCTTTTTCAAACTGATTTGTTTCCATTAAGTGTCTGTTATACTTTGTCATCAGTGCGTCGTACTCAGAACGGTCCTGCAACAAGTCAATTTCCCAACTTTTGTAAACTTTTCTGCAATTCATTTATGTGCAGTATTACCCTTAATTTGGCTACTTCAAGCGCTTGTTCCCATTTATGAAGCTGTTGATACATTTCGATGACTTCGTTCAGTTTGTTCTAAAACTTTATCAAATAATTTTTAAAGACTGTCATAATCGTTGTTATGAAAATAAGCAAAAATGCATTAAAATACAGCTTTCAAAGTTTTAAAACGTAACTATTACCTGCTCTAAGTAGATTTGTTCAGCTTCTTTGAAGTTCCTACGCATTAAGGCAAGTTTTGCACGGGCCTAAAACGAAATACTATCACAAAAACAGCATATTTGACATAGCCAAAATGTAAATTCATGAAAATGACTTTATAATCAAATAATGATTCGTCTGTCGTCATGTCTGGAGTACTGTTGATGAATTGAAGAATTTCGCTGATCATTGCAACTCGAGTTACATCACCAGTAGCAGCATAACAGCGTTGTGCCACAAGAAGTTGGTTTTGAGAAAACGCGGTCTAAAGATTCAAACAGTAATAACATTTTTTCTTTGTGCTATTGATTACCGTATCACAGCTATATCTTTTTAGTCCAAACTAAATCAACAGTTAAAAAAAAAACAAAGATCGTTCGACAAATTTATCAAGAACGTTTTCCAAACATTAGCCAGCTGTTTCCAAAGAATATAGTTATCGTCGCCTTGGTGATTTTCTAAAAAATCTATTGCTCTCCCGTAATCATAGCTTCTTAGCGCCGTTTCAAACTCTATTAGGGTTTGATCAAGTTCGTAAGCAACCTTGGCAGTCGGTTCCTAAACAACAATGACAATAACATTGAGAACAAAAATAATAATAATAGCATTACAGCTGTTTTCCGATTTGAGTTCATCCCTAATACAAACGTTGACTGAGAAAGATATAGCGTTTCTGCGTTTTTCAAATATAAATTTTTTTAACAATACAGATTTGTTTCAACTTACTAAAAACAAAAATGTTAAGATAAAAGTCTCTTAAAACTTGAGATTAACCTGCACAATAACTTCAGTATGCATATCATCTCGGGCGACGGTTTCAATGTCGCCTTTAATTGGAATTGTTGTCATCTGCAATGATACAGTAACGTAACACAACAGTATTATGAAAAAAAAAGAACCAAAGTAAAAATTCTGAAGATAGTTTTGTGTTCATTGTTTTTCAAAGAATATCAACAAAATAATTTGAATTATTCGTTATTTCTGCTGACTGACCTGTTCTGGATTCTGAAGCTGATACCAAACACAAAGTTGTTCTCCACATTGTGCAACTATAACCTCACTGTTCGGCACCCATTGAACATAACTACAGTAGTTAAGTAACGTTGTTTTCTTATGAGTCTCTAGGTCGACCAACGTCAAATCGGACTTCTGATCTCGAAACAGCAGTTTTGTTCCAGCTTCACTTAACTAAAACATCTGCAGATAGAAAATAAATATCTATCAAAAAACTAACCTTTTTCACTTACTTCAAGCCAATCAATTACCGCAGAATGGGTCGTTTGATAGGACACCTGATTATTTACCAAATTTACTGCAATCGACAGAATCAGCACAATTTTTATAGTTATGCAAGTTAAAAAAAATACAGAACTGGTATTTCCACAAACAGCTGTTGAATCAGACCATCACTTTTCAACAACAGCAAAAACATACCAATAGAAATGGAGTAAGCATCAAGTAAATAAGCAGCCAGTTTTACAGGTTTAGTATTTTGATTTGAATGTGATACCACAACTGAAATAAGATGTGGCGAAATAAATTCTGTACGAACCCATCCAAGTATTTCGTTGCAGCCATACTCCACGAAGCTCAACTAAACTTATCATTATTAACATTGGAAAAATCTAAAAGTTTTTTTGAAACGATTTGTTGGTAGTTTGGTAGTTTACCTCGCCAGCATTGACAATAATGCAAATATCATTGTTGTTGAAGAAAAATTTCTCATTTCCAACACTTTGCCATGCCACCTCACTACTTCGATCTGTGGCAAGCTCGACAATAATCAATGTTTTAGCAGTGTATCCAACAGCATATCGATTGTTGCCCAAAACCTTCAAACGAGGTTAGTCAATTATTTTTGCTTTTTTTGAAAATAAGCTTATGTTCCATCTTGTCTGTATAAAAGAGACAATTTCCTATTAGTTTACTGTCCAAAAAAGATCAAAATGAGTAATGGTTGTAATAAAAACTAACTTTATCGACAAGCTTTTTCAAATGTCTAAAGTGATTGAAGAAATAGAGACGTTTTTATTCAGACTACCTTAATGTCGTCAATAGTGTAACCGCTATCTGACTTTATGTGAGTTCTCTGATCGGTAGTGATATCCCTAACCGAAATATGGCTTGACGAAATGTATATAAGCTCAAAACGATTCTTCAAAAGAGATTTTTTTAAGCAGCATTCCAGAAGAATCACAAGACCACAGATTGTCCCCTGAAATATTTGCAGAAATTAATTAAAACCAAAAATTTTTCTAGAAAATTTGATGAAGCGAGGTGAATAGTCCAGTTGAAAATTGATGATTAAAAAACAAACCACAACCAAAGTAGAACCATCGCATTTCCAACAAAGTGCAGTAACTGTGTACAAGTTGGGAATTTCAGTTTTAAAACCCTCTTCAAGAGCTCCTCTGCGTATATTCCACGTAAAGAATCGAAGCCTACAAAGACAGTTTTGAAATTCAGCACTTTAAAGTGTTAAATTTAGCTGAACAATTTGAAAAATACAATCTGCAGTAAAAAAAAAAGTTAACATTGACTATTTAAAAAAATTATTTTTTGGCTTCTCCAACATTTGGCAGATAAGAACACTGATGATATGGTCTATGCTGACGAAAGAAATTGAGTGAAAATTTGTTAGATTTGAATGTTACCAAACGTTGAAATTTCGCAAAATATTCAATTAAGGTTTCGTTGACGTTATATCCGTTTGAAGATTTCATGAAGCTGTTCTCAAATTTCGAGTTCAAATTTAGTAGTTTTAAAAAGGTGCAATTGGTATTTTGGAGCAAATTTTATGAACAGTCTATATTTTGTAAAATTTTTAGCCAGAAAAGATGGATTTCAGTTTGACATACTTGACAACACAACTGAAGTGTTTAAGCAAAATAACTAATCTAGTCTACCAAGTTTAATTAAACATCTCTGAAGCTAATTTGAGCAGAGGAAATATGGATGACACTCTGTGACAAATATCGTCATATCGACTATTCCATATGACTAAAAGTTCCACAAAAAAAATAAATTAGTATCACTCATTCTAAACAAACCAAATCAGAAATATTTGTTCTGGCCTTTGCTTTAGCTAGAGCAAAAGACGGTACATACTAAAAGAAAGGTACATACGAATGTGTTTTTCAAACAATAGATCAATGCTTACACATAAAAAAATCTTTAAAAGAAAACCAGGAAGTTGTTGTTGAGGCATAAGCCTTAAAAAAAGTTCTCTCAAGACACTGTCAGCTGCATTTCAAACTTACTTCTGTCAGGGATCAATTTAACACTACAGTCAGCCATTTTTATTCGAGCATTTGGCAACAGTATAATAAAGTTTACCGAGAAGAGACTTTTTTATTTTATGACGTCAAGGAATTAATATTCAGTTTTCAAGACAGTTAAACGTCTTCAAGTTGGAGTTTAGCAGAAAAATAGAAGCCAAAAAACAAGACAATTTTTTAATTTTTTAGCCATATGAATTAAACAGAAAGTGTTATGCTGTCTAATTTTAAAATTTCAAGTATTTAATACTTGTAAAACTTAAGATTCAAACCATTTCTCAAGAACTAAAGTGGAGGGAGATTATGCACGCAGCTTGAAATAGGCAATATGAACAAACATTGAAAAATTTCTCATACACTTTACCACCTTTCAGTAAAAATAATTTGAAAACAGCACTGATTACAGTTGATTTCGACTTGTGACAAAGCAATCGAATGAAGATGTGAGAAAAAAAACACTGTTTGAGTTACAAGTAAAAAAAATTAATTTTCCAATTTTGTTTCAGCTTTATCACAGGATACTTTTATCACCAACTCCTGTCATCTGAACGAAAAAAATGATAGCTTTTTGTTATCCTTCACAGTCGTTAACTTTATCTCTGAAGTACTCTTTGAAAAAAATCAAAAATTTTTTTCTCGTTTAAAAAGTAACGACTACATCTGTTTCCTGCAATTTTTTAAATGTTATTACAATTGTTATTCTTGATAGTTTCAGGTGCTTATCTATTCACTAAACAACCGCAGTTTTTTTAAGGATTAGAAGCAAAAATTTTCATCAAGATTAATTGTTAAAAACTATGATAGCTGTCCATCATTGATACAAAATTTTTAACCAACAGAACATTCAGTAGACATCAACTGGAAAAAAATTATCAGTTGCTAGAAAAGTTGATACAATGAAGATTATAATGCTGGTTTTAAATCATATAGGCTTTCAGAAATTTTTTTCTACAGCAATGAAGACAAATTCCAGTTGATTACCTGTTAAAACTTCCGATAATAGCATGTTGTCCAGAAGGATCAGAAACTGCGGTATAAAAATCTTTTTCTGTGTCATCTGAACTACAGTCAAACTGTTGCAGTAAAGCACCGTTAGTAGAGTACCAAATAATTCGTTTATCGCTACCAGATGCTAAGATTCCATTGGTCATAAATAACAAAACATATGGCGAACATTGGTGGGTTAAAATTTTTGATTGAGTTTTTGTGTCAAATGAATAACTAATGATGGATCCATCAATGTGTGCGGAGACGAAGCCTCGTTTCGATGGACTAAAACAACGTTTTTTTGCTGTAACTGCACTAAAAATGTTCTTAGCAGCTGAACTTCAAATTTCGACACCACTAAGTTTTAACTGAAAAAAAAAAAAAAAAAA